TCAGAAATGATAAAATTTAAATATTGTCATGCATTTAGTATATGTTAAGGACAATGTATCAAGTAAGTCAGTTAATGTAGTAGTTCCAGTCTGCGTGATAATGCGAGTATCAGCTGGATGAAACAATTCGAGTCAACGTCATTAAGAAATCTTCCCGTACATGGTTTGGAAATAAAAAATAGTCCTGTCGTAAGATATGAACTTGTATCCTTTATTGTTGGGAGTCTGCTTTACAGTGACATTGCCTTATTCAATGATCACAAAGACTTCATCAGTAAACGCGACTCAAATAGGTTTAAAAGCGGTATTCTTTTCTTCTCTGATCTCCATAATACTGCTATTATATTAATATTTTATTTATAAGAGTAGCACTAGGTATAATGAAGTGTTGTTCTGTTCAGGTGTTGAAAGAAGTTGAAAGTATCTCAGATGACAAATAAAGAAGTTTCCAAAAGCCTTTTATTTTCATTATATAAAAACAGTAAAATGAAAGAATACTAGCTTAACATTAATAACAATAATAACTAACAATTTGTTGAAGTCATTCAGGAACAATATGATCCTTACCGTTCTTGTTTTATCATAACATGTCATCTGGTACACTCTCCAGCTTCAATCGTGTGTTTTATACTTCTGGTAATCTTTGGAACATTTTAAATTGAATAATAAGTTAGTATTATGATCAAAAGCAATAAGCTCTTTTCAGTGTTGTAATATTCGTCCACAGTGTGTGATCAAAATAACTTATTAATTTGAAGCGAGGTCAAATGAAAGAAAAGCATGTAATCTGGTCATGAGATTTAAGTATATGCGGGTAATTCACCCATGTAAGTATACATGAGCAATTTGCTCATCTCACTATAATGTGGAAAATTTTCCACACAAAAATATGCATAGATACACACTGAGTCGTATATACACAAATGCTTTTGATTTAAAATTAGTTTTGCAAGTAATATTAGCATAAGAATTCTTAATATCATTTTCTAATAAACACTTGCCATTAGCATCAAGGCTCCTGAAGGTGACATTTCAGAAAAAGATGCATTTAACTTAACAAATATCCCTATGTTTTACATATAGAAATAAAAAAAATGATTTTAAGACTAAATTATAAAACCTGTCACCAATTTACAAAAAGTAAAAAATGACCTCAGAATGGTACACTAGATCAAATATAGGCATTTCCTCTCGCAGACATAAGTGATTTTCTCTATTTATAAAAGGCAGGATGTGTGTGTGTGTGTAACGAATGCACGGTCGCAATTTTCGACGGATTTGCACCAAAATTTACATGCACATGCTCCAAGTTTGAAAGGCCAAAACCGATTTTGCATTTCCCAACTCCCATCGATAGTGGAAATAATCGATTTTTTCATGCTTCTACGGCAGTTTTCATGTAGTTTGCGGCCATTTTCTACAGGCCAGAGTGAGAGCCTATAGCTGGCTGCCACGAATAGGCAGGAAGATTCTATTGGCCAGCGTGAGAACCAGCAGCTGACTGACACGAATGTTAACTAGCATGCTAGCATGCAAAAAAAAATCGATAGCTGCATCCGTCACAAGTGGGAAAAATTTTAATCTGCATGGCACTTTACTCCAATTGGCTCATTCGCTTGCTTAAACTCAACGTTGATTCTGATTCCGCAGAACTGGGTTGAGTGTGAAAAAGTATTTGTTGTTAACATTCTTTTTCCATTCGGTTTTTCCAGTTATGAGTCCTTTTTAAAGCTGATCGTTTTGTGTTCATTTTGTTTAGTTCTTTTTTTCGTAACAGATTTAATGTTTAGTATAGAGCTTACAAAAATTCGCAGTGTGAGATAGGCAAGAAGTAAGGCATGTAGCAACATCAGCACGGCAAATGACACTCCTTTAAAGGCAAGGAAGGGCAAAAATATTTTAAGTCAAGTGATTACTGTATGAGTCGTACGATTTTTGAATCAAGCACGGGCAACGTCGGGTCATGCTGCTACTTCAAAATATACTACAAACAGAAAAAAAAAACTTTATAGGCAGAATTTTTATTATTAACACTTTTACAGATGCAATATTGCCTGGCGGTTCTGGCCTCTTTTGAGAAAATGGAAAATTACTTTTTACTGGAAATAAATGACTATAAAGATACTGATAGTGATTTCTCATTGGCATCATGATTTTGATTGCACACAGATACTCTACAATACGAACAAAGCTAAATGAACCTCCTTTCCGCACACATAATAAAAAGGCATCACAAAACAGGTCATATTGTATAATATTATATATGTACACTGATTTGGAAAATATCATGAAAAGAAGCACTTGTCAGTTTATAACACACACAAAGAAACAAAAACACTAGGAACCAACTCAGCTTTTTGGTCGGTATTAAAGCATAGTATCTGTTTTCTCCTCATTTCAGATGGGAGAAGGTGCCTGGTCTCAGGAATTCCAATTTTGTAGCAACACTTTCCTCATAGCCCTACAGGAGGTTGGGCTGTGATGGTAGTCGTGGGGACTGTACAATGTTTGTCCTTCCATATGCATGTGTATGGGAACCCCATGCAAAAATGACCTTGTGTCACATCCTGCTTTAGTGGGTAGGTTAGGTAAATAAACGCATACCAACCGATATACATAATCTTGAAACACACACACACACACATATATATATATATATATATATATATATATATATATATATATATATATATATATATATATCTTGTAGACAACATTGTTATTTCTGTAGGAGGGTTTGCTTGTTTGCATTTGGGATGAAAATTGGTAAAACCATTTTGTCAGATGACAGAATAAACAAGACAGAAAGCATGTTAGAGAGAGAAAAGACGGAAAGAATGTCAAAGAGAGAGAGAGAAAAGACGGAAAGCATTTTAGAGAGTGAGAGAGAAGACGGAAAGTATGTTAAAGAAAGCATGTTAGAGAGAGAAAAGACGGAAAGCATGTTAGAGAGAGAGAAAAGAAGGAAAGAGTGTTAAAGAGAGAGAAGACGGAAAGCATATTAAAGAAAGAGATAGAGAGAGAATAGACAGAAAACATGTTAGAGAGAGAGAAGACGGAAAGCATGTTAAAGAGAGGGATAGAGAAAAGACGGAAAGCATGTTAGAGAGAGAGAGAAGACGGAAATCATGTTAAAGAAAGAGATAGATAGAGAGAGAGAGAGAAAAGACAGAAAGCATGTTAGAGAGAGAGAGAGAAAGGCGGAAAGCATGTTAGAGAGAGAAAAGGAAAGCGTGTTAAAGAGATAGAGAAAAAAACGGAAAGCATATTAGAGAGAGAAGACGGAAGTATATTAAAGATAGAGAGAGAGAATAGACAGAAAACATGTTAAAGAGAGAGAGAAGACGGAAAGCATGTTAAAGAGAGGAAAGCATGCTAAAGAGAGAGAGAAAAGACGGAAAGCATGTTAAAGAGAGAGATAGAGAAAAAAGACGGAAAGCATGTGAGAGAGAAGACGGAAAGCATGTTAAAGAGAGAGATAGAGAGAGAAAAGACGGAAAGCATTTTAGAGAGAGAGAGAAAAGACGGAAAGCATTTTAGGGAAAGAAAAGACAGAAAGTATGTTAAAGAGAGAGTGAGAAAAGACGGAAAGCATGTTCGAGAGAGAAAAGACGGAAAGCGTGTTAAAGAGAGAGAGAGAGAAAAGACGGAAAGCATATTAAAGAAAAAGATAGAGAGAGAGAAAAGACGGAAAGCATGTTAGAGAGAGAAGACGGAAAGCATATTAAAGAAAGAGATAGAGAGAGAGAGAAAAGACGGAAAGCATGTTAAAGAGAGAGAAGACGGTAAGCATTTTAAAGAAAGAGAGAAAAGACGGAAAGCATGTTAGAGAGAGAAGACGGAAAGCATATTAAAGAAAGAGAGAGAGAGAGAGAAAAGACGGAAAGCATGTTAAAGAGAGAAAGACGGTAAGCATTTTTAAAAGAGAGAAAAGACGGAAAGAGAGAGAGAGAAGACGGAAAGCATGTGAAAGAGAGAGAGAGAGAGAAAAGACGGAAAGCATGTGAAAGAGAGAGAGAGAGAGAAAAGACGGAAAGCATGTGAAAGAGAGAGAGAGAGAGAAAAGACGGAAAGCATGTGAAAGAGAGAGAGAGAAAAGACGGAAAGCATGTTAGAGAGAGATAGAGATAAAAGACGGAAAGCATGTTAGAGAGAGAGAGAGAAGATGGAAAGCATGTTAAAAAGAGAAAGAGAGAAAGCAAGATAAAAGTAAAGCAGGTTTTATTGTATGTCTATATGTCTACACTGATTTGGAAACAGTACAAAGAAGCTCTAGCTAGTTTATGATACAAATGGTAGGAATCATGGTGTCGAAAAAAAAACTATATATACTGTCATCTTGATGACAGAAAGTTATGCCATTTTCATAAAGACGTATAAATACGTCCACAGCAGTGGCAGTACTAATAAATGCGTTTAAATAAGCATAAAAAGATAATCCATTGTTGTCCCAATCACATAAAAGTGGAATCAAAATTCAAGCCATAACCTGCAGCATTTTTTTCTTTGTTTTTTTGCCAGTCATTTTTAGCACCTGCAGCCTGAGTGTTCTTTTGGCTGGGCCAATAGACAAATGAAAAAATATTCATAGAATTATGGTAAGTCAGGATTCTTGCAAAGATAAATTCTATATCCAAATTTTCTTTTTTCCTACCCCACTATTTTTCTGAAAGTATGAGGTGGCCGTTTTGTCACAGTCAGATGTTTATGTATCTCTCTAATTCCAAATATATCAATGTGAAATGACAAATTCAGGCAAATTTGGTGAAAGTTTATTTTTATGTCTTAAATTACTTTCCTTTTTTCTTATTTACTTATATATGTGGAAATTTATTTTTGTATTTCTCCATATTTGCTGCCCCTCATTTGTACAATTATTTATTTAATTCTGTGCCAAAATATTTTGGATATTAAAAGAAGCACAAATGTTTTGATTTTGTTATTTCTGTATGAAGGTTTGCTTGTTTGCATTTGTGATGAAAATTGGTAAAACCATTTTCTCAAATGACAGGGAAAGAAGACAGAAAAAACAGCATGGTAGAAAGATAGCACAATAGAGAGAAATTAAGCATGATAGCATGGTTGAGAAAAGAAGCATGATAGAGAGACAGCACGATTGAGAAAAGACACAACAGAGACAGGCAGAACGATTGAGAAAAGAGACACGAGAGAGAGAGAGACAGGCAGGACATTTGAGAAAAGAGACACAAGAGAGAGACAGGCAGGACGATTGAGAAAAGAGACACAAGAGAGACAGCACGATTGAGAAAAGAGACAAAAGAGAGAGAGAGAGAGACAGCACAATTGAGAAAAGAGACACGAGAGAGAGAGAGAGACAGCACGATTGAGAAAAGAGACACAACAGAGAGACAGGCAGAATGATTGAGAAAAGAGACACAACAGAGAGAGAGAGAGACAGCATGATTGAGAACCAGAGAGAGACAGGCAGGGCTATTGAGAAAAGTGACACAACAGAGAGACAGGCAGGACGATTGAGAAAAGAGACACAACAGAGAGACAGGCAGGACGATTGAGAAAAGAGACACAACAAAGAGAGAGAGAGAGAGACAGCACGATTGAGAAAAGAGACACAACAGAGAGACTGGCCACACGATTGAGAAAAGAGACACAACAGAGAGACTGGCCACACGATTGAGAAAAGAGACACAACAGAGACACTGGCCACACGATTGAGAAAAGAGAGACAACAAAGAGACTGGCAGCACGATTGAGAAAAGAGACACAACAGAGAGACTGGCCACATGATTGAGAAAAGAGACACAACAGAGAGACTGGAAAAAAGTGAATGAGAAAATGAAAGTGGAATGCAAAAGAAAGTGAAAGTGAAAATTATGAAATGGACAAAAGAGTAGGAAAGAAAGAAGGAAGATGAAAGAATGAGACAAAAAGAAGACAAAATTATAGCGGGAGAAAGAAAAATGAAAACAATAAAATTTCCTTCTTTATTGCCACCTTTTTTATTTAAGAAGAAAAAGAACAAAGAAAGAAAAATTCTATTAGAAAGAAATGAAGAAAAAAGACAAAGAAAATTTATGTGGTGGGGAAAAGAAAGAAATAGAGACAGACATTTTATGATAAGCTAAAAAGAGATAAGAAAATTATGAGCAGAAAGAAAGAAAGAAACTATGGTGAGAAAAAAGTATGGAAAAGCAAAAAATACAAAAAAAATATGTAAAAATAAAAAAAATAATTGAAAACACATTTCAAAAACAAGTCAACCACAATAGAAAAAAAAGGAAAGTGAAAATAAAAAAAAAAGAAATAAAGATGAGTATAAAAATAAATAATGCAAACATAAGCATTTTACCTCCAGCCACAATGTACATAGAAGGGGTCATAAATGAAATTCAAGAAAAATAAACTATGGCCATTTGAAATGAATGGTGCTGTCAAGGAAAAGAATCAGTTGTCTCTTACACATTGAAACTCTTATGATTAGTGGCTCATATATTCAGTATATTTCTCTGCTGCTATCTTTGGAGACCAAATGAGCCTTTCACTGTTACTTACCTCTTTGTTGCCCACTTACCTCCCACACCAGGAGACACTGGGCTAAACATGATTTGGTTCCTGCAATAAATCCTTCCTGCTCATCAGATAAAATGCATCTGCCATTGCACATGTTAAGAATCTAAATTACAAATCTATTTTCTTTCACTAAAGAGTTCACATTTGGTTAAAAGAACATATGCACCCTTGGACTGAAAAGTGAAAAGAAACAGAGGAGAAAATGAAAAGCAGAAAACAATACAGAAAATGGGAGAAATAAAGAAAATGAAAGAGAATAAAGATGAAGAAGAATAGGAAAGAGAAAGAGTAATAAGTTAGAAATAAGAAAACAAAAGAATTTGATGTTTAAAGATTCAAGGAAGAGTTGAAAGGAAAAAGAAATAAAAGTATAAAAGTCAGAATGGTTGTAAAAGAGAAAAAAGATTAAAGTGTTGTTTGTTATGATGGTTGTAAAAAGACAAAGGAGAGATGGAGAAGAAAAAAGTGTAAAAGAAGAAAGAAAGAAAAGATAGAGAAAGAAAGAGATGAAAGAGAAACAGCGATAAAGAAAGAAACAAGAGAATAAAAAGGAAGTGAAGAGTGAGAAATAAAGAAAGAGATAAAAATAAGAGAAAGAAAGATAAAAAAAGAAAGATAGGAACAAGAGATAAAAGAAGAGAAAGACATAGAAAGGAATGTGGTTGAAGCCATGATATTGAAAAAAATAAAAATACATAATGATTGTTTTTTTTTCTTCCCTTCAGAAAATAGAGAAAAAACATAAAATATAGAAAAAACAAAGACAAAAATGAACAAAAAGTGAATAATCTAAAAAATGAACAAAAAGAGAATAAAGAATGAAATTATGAAAAAGAGGAAAAGCAAAGATGATATTAAATATGTAAAGGAAGAAACAATAAACAGAAAAGGGCAAAAATAAAAAAAAAAAAAAAATAGAATGAAAAAATTAAATGAAAGAAAGCTGATAAATTGTTTCTGGTAAAAAGTATTGCAACTTCCATAAATTCCCCATTGACTGTGATTGACTCCTTTTCATCAAATTTTAGAAATGTACATTTGCCTAAGATATTATACCTTGAAAATATTGCTTTTGTTCAATATATGTCAGTGGCTCAGTTCTAAATAAGAATGATTTCTCCAAAACTGCATGTGAGTAGTGGATTAAATCTGACCGCAACTAAATTGTAACAATGGTCACTTTGATATTGTGCATGTAACCAATTTGGAAATGGATGAGGTAATTGGTCACTCCTACTAAAATGGCTACCTTGATTGCATCAATGATTCCTCTTTCTTTGTCCTTAAGGATATTTAAAGAAAGACATTTTTGCACAATCAATACTTTCTTTGTATTTTCATTTTTTTCTCATTTTTTACTTCCCTTTTCATTCTCAATAACTCTCTTTTCAGTTTATTTTCTTATTTTATGACATTATTCCAAAAAGAAAAAAAAGTGGTAAGAGATGAAAATTTGATTTGAGTAGCCAAAAAGTAGCCATTTTAAGGAAATGCTAGGTTGTCTCCCTTTGCATCATTTTCTCTCAGTTTTTTGGCCTCAATAAAATAATGAGAGATAGTTACATAGAAAGAACCACAAAATAAAAATAAAAGATGCAATAAATAAAAAAAATTAGTTAAAAAATTTATGAAATAATTATGTTTGTAAATTAAAACTGTATACAAGTCTTTACTCTGAAATTTTCAGTATTTTGGGGGGTATTTTTCTGTATTTTTGGTGGGGGGTATTTTGTTGGATAGGATGGGAAGTTCAGGTTCATTGCATGAATCAAGAAATTCTTCTGTTAATATTAGGTGGAGATAGCAATAAATGATTTAATGATACACATGCAGGGAGAAAATGGATTTATGCCTTTTTTATTGGTATTCATAAATACAAATTCCTCTGCTTTGCTAGTTTCCTTTTTTGCCCTGATATCTTTGGTTTTAATTAAATGTTCACCCAATACAAGACTCAAGAATTATTTAAGGTAAGAAGGTTACTGAATAGACATAAAAGGAAGAAGTGCAGACTATTTACATTATTTGGACTATTGTCCTCATCTTTGTTACCATATTTATCATAACATTTTGACCATTGTATGCTCCAGCCTTCTTCAGGTGGTTGGAATGTCAAACTGAACCCTTTATTTCACTCACTGGGGTAGACTGTTTTAGTTCCACATACCATAGTTATCTCCTGTTAATTCACCTCTCCAAGTTCTCCACTGTCTTAACCAGGTATTAAACTCAAAACTCTTTGTGCCCTGTCACTGGATCTAATTAACACCTTTACCCAATGTGCCATGTGTCCCTAAGGTCATCTGTGTATGAATTTCTGGGTATTATAAAACTAATGTCTTCCACAAGCATTTTTTATCAGTAATAAAGGGTTCAGTTTGACATTCCAACCACCTGAAGAAGGCTGGAGCATACAACAGCCAAAATGTTATGATAAATATGGCAACAAAGATGAGGACAATAGTTCGAATCATGTAAATAGTGTACATAATACCTCACCTCAGAAATATAGACAGATACTGAAAAACTGCAGATCATGAAGGTATATATAGTACGGATAATGGTTGATCCTAGACTTGAAGAACTTCAGATTGTTGTGATCATGGAAGGATCTGCTCAAGAGTCTGTTCTACAAAATAGCAGTTCTTGGAAAAAACATGTCCAAACAGAGCATCCTTCTTACCAATGAAATACAAAGGAAAGGAGGATAATTTGACCCTGTGTACATGGTGGTTTGATTTGGTTTGGTTTGTTTTACAGCATATCAACCTCAATGGGTTATTTAATGCCAACAATATTTTTATTGTTGGTAATATTTTTTTCCAAAATGTATTACTGGTAAAAATTTTTCCAAAAATGTATTGCTAGTATTAAAACCTATTTTTATACTTTCATTTGACCTCTTTTTTGTGGGGTGGGTGGGGGTGGGGTTAACTATTTGCCCATAGCCAGGACCCTGACAGGTGCTACCACCCCGGGTCATGGACCTGGAAACACCAGCAATTAAGAGGTGGTCCCATGCTCCTCAAAACCTTCTGATCAAAGGCCTTGCTTTTGGATATAGTTTATCGTCATACTCAAGATGGATGTACATGGTGGGTCTTAGCTGTGAAGGTCTGAACTTAGGAAACTAAGGCATGTTGCATATCAGAACATTTTCTATGGAAATAGAATTAGGGTATTGAGTCTTGTGATGTTTCATCTGTGAGAAAGGGATTGTAAAGTGAAAAATAATTCATTACCCACAAGGCAGTGTAGATGCTTTTGAACTCTGTCATGGTTGGAAAGTAAGCAGCTCTAGGTCAGATATGGCAACAGTACTCCATTTTTGGTCTGATCTAGCTCTTTGTTATATATTTTTGTCCTACCAATTTAAATGTCCTTCAGTTGGCTCTATTTCTTTTCTTTTTTTCCTCCTTTTTCCTTCAATGGTTGAAACAAATTAGACATTGTTTTAGGAGAATTTGATTAGTTCAAGGTTAGTCTATAATGCATCTACCCTAATCATTTTGAATATCTCCAGAACTTCATGTAACTTGTCTATCAAACAGTGGGGATCTAACTACACGGCTGTGAACAGACACTCTTGTGAACCTATTCAGTTAACAATAAGACACTAGTAAGTGAGCATGTGTACAATATGACCATTGCCTAAATAATAACATGTATAGGTTTGTTCAGGAAAATATCACATCACCAAGATGTATTTGTCTCCACTTAATATTAAGATTTAGCTGCCTGTGTCATCTGGCTTTATCCAAGGCTAGAATAGACATTTAAAATTATGGAAAAGCAACTTTTAGATTATTCTATGATGTGCAGTATGACAATTGCTTGATTGTTCTGCCAATTTGTAAAGGTAGTATTTAAAGTTAATTCATATAAATTTAAGAAAATCTGAAATATAAGCACAAAAACTGGTTTAAATAGAAACTTATGAAATTGAAACTAAATTGAAACTGAAATTAAACTAGAAACACAGATGAGTAGGTACAATATAAATTATGTTTAATTAAATCAATAATTGAATCATGATGACAAAATTACTCACTAAATCATGTGCCAATTCAAAATTATGTAAATGCCTAAACTTAATTAACTGATTGATTGACTCCGGAAATGAGTCAGTTTTATCTATGTTAGTTGTCACTGTAGAATATTCTCCAGAAAACAGGAATGCTTGAAAATTCTAGAACCCTATAATATTTTTAGCTTAATTTTTTCTAATATTAAAAAAGGGTAAAAAAAGACAAAATCAAAAATATTTTTAGGGTGTTACATATAAAAATATACATAATACAACAATACCATAACAACAGGTACAAATACCTAAATAGAAACCTGGTTGCATAATGTGTAACTGCAAAAAGATTTAGTGAGTCTTGAGAAAAAAACCTTTTTATGAATACAACGAAAGAGGAGCAGTGTTGAATAAAATCAGGACCTGATAGATGAAAATTGTGCAAAAGAATTCATGCTTAAAGCCTCTAAATTATATAGAACTAACTATCAAATCTAATTCAATAGACAAAAAATTGCTTTGCTGAGGGCGAAATGGTTAAAAAGAAAGATTATTTACAGTCAGACTAATATTTTCATTTTTGTTGTTACAATTACAGCATTTCTCCTCTGGCATTTTTCAAGTGTCTGTTGATCCTGGTAATCTTCAATGATTGTGAAATGAGCCTTTCATTCAATCTAGAGAGGTAAGCCTCTGTCATTAGTCTATTATTTAGTGAATTTGGTGACAATAATATTTCAACATCTTTCTATATTTCTGAGAGGAGGAATTGTAATTATTTACACTATTTGGACTGTTGTCCTCACAATTATTGCCATATTCATGTTTCAGCCATTGTAAGCACCAGCCTTCTACAGGTGATATACATTGAAATTATGAACCGAATCCATGACCCAGTGAATAAAAGCATTGGTTGAAATTATCTATTGACTTGACTCAAAGAGTTATGAGTTCAATACCTGGCCACAGCAGAGGTGAACAAAAACTTGAAAAGTTGAGTTACTAAAGGAAATAAACTGAAAATGAGATATCGAGAAAAGGTATGGCACGTGGAACTAGAACAATCTACTCCAGAAGACAAAATAAAGGGTTCAGTTCGAAATTCAAACGTATATCACCTGAAGATGGTTGGAGCATACAATGGCCAAAATATTGTAAAAATGACAATAAAGATGAGGACAGCGGTCCAAACAATGTAAATCAGGTAAATAGAATAATTCTTCCTTTTTTATTTTTACAGATTTTCAACTCAATAACTGCTCCATCAGCAGGCCTTAGAATAGACTGACTATATCCGCTACAAAGGTATAACCAACCTCCACAAAACAATTACAGGCTTGAAATATAAATACGAATAAAGTGTTACTGGCCTCTGCATATGGTCAACAACATTGTATCCAATCTTCTAGACTACATCAGTACCATGTTTCTGGCAGTTTATGGCCTAGCAGTAAGTGAAGCTTGATCATGAGGATTCCAGTCCTCCATTGCACCACAGGTGGCTAAACAAAGTTGTATGACACCTGCATGACAGTTGTTGTGTGTGTGCATATATATATATGTGTGTGTGTGTGTATGTAAAAACCAACCATGTATCAAAACCTGTCACCATATGAAAGAGGTAGAAGTAAATACTGATGAGTGTAGTATCAGTGCACTCTGCCTAGCATCAAAAT